AATGATTTCGCGTTCCTCTTGTTTATTCCCCTCGGAGTAAAGGGAGCGAGTTCTGTAGGAGCGGGGAAGGAAGGGCTGGGAGGTGGTGGGGACTTTGTGCGCCCCACAAAGGCAGCGCTGCTGGGGGCTCGCGGTGCCAGCGCTTTGTGCCCGAGCCGGTCCTGTTCACATCCTCCCCCCCTGTCCCGTGTCACAGCCGGACCGGCCACAGCCACGTTGTCCACACACGCATTGGGATGGTGTGTGGTTTTTGTTTGCTCCTCATGGTTCTCATTTGGAGCCCTGCGGTGGGTTTGGCCCTGTAAATGCTCCATCGTGTGTGGCTGGAAGGGGCGAGTTCCTGGGGTTGTGCGCGATCCAGAGAGGAATTATTATTAAATTTAAAATTAGGTTTCACTGTGTCAGCTGTTCCTTGGGAAGGTGTTCCTGAATCACATCTTGCTGCTGGAAAGAAACCCTCATCCTTATTTCCAGCCTAACCACGCTCACGTTCCCCTTACCCACGTATGTCAGTGGGTTCTTTTTGCATCGCTTGCGTCATCCTCCTGAGAATTGAAAAACTGAGACAGGCTCGAAATGAAACCCAAAATGTGACTGACTGGGAGCTTGAGGGGCAGCTCCATGTAGGTGCTCCCAGGGTCGTTAGCAGTGCTATGGTGGCACTTCTTGTGCTGATGGAGAGGGGACTGGTCAGGTCTGATGTGCTTGTCTGTCCCCAGGAATTTCGGGAGCCTCGTGGGGCAGGAGGGAGAACCAGGAGCCAGTTCCTGTCGGGCTTTCCAGGCTGGCTCTGGGCAGCTCCTGGCAGCTCTGGGTGGCCCAGGGCCCCAGGACACGGGTTTTGGGAGCCCCGAGTGCCCTGTGTTGGAGGGCCTGGGGTTGTGCTGTGGTGCACGTGCAGGAACTGGGCTCTCTCGGGATCCTTTGTGCTCCTTCCTGAGCAGCTGCAGCGAACAATGGCCCTCACAGCTGTCCCGGTTTTATTCCTGGTTGCAGCTTGGAGGGGCGAGGATGGCTCAGGAGACGAACCAGACCCAGGTGCCCCTGCTGTGCACCACGGGCTGCGGGTTCTATGGCAGCCCCCGCACCAACGGGATGTGCTCCGTGTGCTACAAGGAGTTCCTGCAGAGGCAGCAGAGCAGTGACCGGATAAGCCCCCCAGGTAGAGGGTTTTTTCCTGAGAAATCTGCCTTAAAATGGGGATTTGGATGCAAACTCTGTTCAGCAACTGCTACTGGCCACCAGCAGGTTCACCCCCTCCTAGAAAAGCCATGTCTGTCCCTTTCCATGGAGACCCAAGGCTCTAAATCAAGGACCCTTGAGCACTTGTGTTCCCTGTAAGGGGGGCAGTTGTTTCCTTCCCGGTCCCACCAGTTTGTGAAGCCCTCTCCCAGTCAGCCCCTTCCAGCAAACTGTATAACTTCACCTGTGCTAAGGGTGACCCCAGTTTTAGCTGTTCCCTGCTCCCTGAGTTATGTGCTGACTGCTGGGAACCCCATACATCCCCACAATGACATTTTATTTGGGAAGAACTGGGCCTACTTGGTTTGTATAATTTTCTTACCTTAACAGTGTTGACAACCAAAATCCATGTCCTAAAAAGTTTGTTTCCTGGTACATCCCAGAGCTGGGAGCAGAAAGAAGATGCTCTCCCCATTGTGAGCAGGGTTGTGGGGCTTTTTTTGCTGGGAGTTTGTGCAGATGCTCCATGAACAGGCTTTGCACAGTGAGAAATTCTTCCCAGAGCTCTTCCACAGTTTGTTCCTGAGTGCAATTGTGGCTTTCCTTGAGTTATCCCCCCCAAAATATGCATCAGGAACACGGCTTTTCCTGGCAGAGAGTTTTCTTAGACCCCCCAACTTAGACCCTCAGCTGACACAAACCAACCTGTGTCTGCTGAAGCTGGGAGAGGATCTGGTTCTTCCACCTCAGAGAAGCTGCAGAGTGATGTTGGTTCAAGGTCCAGACTGCCCTGATGTGTTACCCCCACAGAGACCTGGGCACAAATTCGGAGGGGAGGGTGTAGGAATAGAGATATGGGAATGATCCCAGCTGGGGTGTGCTCTCCCAGCTCCAGGAGGGAGCAGGAGCTTAAGGACTGCTGAACACTCCTCCTGCTTTCCCCTTGCCTGTCAAGCACACGAGGAACTTGCTGGCGTTTTTCAAAGGCTTTACCAAGACTGGTCTTGTCTTGTAGCTCCCAGTGGTCCCAGCAGCAGCCCCATGGCTTCTGAAGCAATTGCAGAGGGAGACTCCACACCTGAGGATGCAAAAGCCAGGTAGGGGCATAGTCTGGGGGCAGGGGATCTACAGCCCTGCTAAAATCCAGCTCTGGCCCACGGGGCACAGGGTGTCACCTGTCACATGGCCAAGGGGTACATGGGCTGGGTCAAACTCCTCACTGTGACCCTGGTTTGTCTGGAAGATTGAGATGTCCCTGATGAAGATGATGATGATGATGATGTGTAGAGTGAGGTGCCAGGGGGTTGGTAGTGAATCAAGTGGTATCTTGGTTCCCTTGGAGCCAGTGCAGCTGCTCTGTCACTGCCTGTGTTCAGCTGTTCTGTTTCTACTCAGTCCTTAGTGGTGGGATTTTTGGGGTTGTCCTGTGCAGAACCAGGAGCTGAACTTGATGATGAACTTGGTCCCTTCCAGCTCGGGATATTTCAGGATTTCAAGTGAAAGCACCTGCTGGTGACCCAGTCTGGAAGCTGTGACAGCAGGATTAGAGATCTTGGGCACGTTTGATGGGGAGGATGTTAGAGCTGCACTGAGCTCTGTCACGTTACAGTCCTGACTCATAACTCTGTTGCCCTGTTCCTGGACTTGTTTGGAGCTGTAGCCTTGGCTGTGAGATATAATTGGGTACAAAAGGAAACTGAAATCATCACAGGTTCATTCCATGTCTGCCTGTAAAGAACTTTGATCCCAGATCTCTAGGGCAATCCCAAATCTCAGGTCTGCTGTACTCCTGACCTACTTCTGAATATAAGGAAATTAACTTTATGGGCTGGAGGTCTCTCCCACATAACTGTTCATCAAAGGAAAACCCTTGTGTTTGCTCTTTGTTCGTTCGCTGCAAATGCTCCCAGTGCTCAGACTCCTGTGACCCATCAGATGACAGCCATGAGCATATCCAGAGAGGAAACCAGCACTGAGACAGAGGAGTTCAGCAAGACAGAAGAAGCCTCATCAGCACCTTCCTCATCAGGTCGGTTTGGCCTTTGCACAAGTGTCAGTGACACAAATCTCAGAGTTGGTTTGAGCAGCGCTGGCCACTGACCCCAGGGGACAGGCATCCCCTCACACACCTGGAGAGAGAGCTGAGGAGGAGACAGCTCCTCTGTGAGACAGGAGAGCAAATGCTGTGCCCCAGGGCAGGCTGAGGAGCTGCCAACCCTGTCGCTGGCAGGAGGATAATCTTCCATGACGCCTCTCCCGGGGAATGGCAGCGAGCCCAGAGCGGCCCACGGCCTGTCGCTGGCAGCACTCCCCTGCCAGCTCTGAGGGAGGGAGGGACAGGGATCCACCAGAGTTATGGGAGAGAGGGGACGTGTTTGTGACAGTGCCTGGTTGGTGTCACCCCTGTGGTGGGGGTACCTGTCCCTCGAGGGGGTGTTTCCCCCCCGAAGGGACTGGGGAGCACAGGGGGCACTGCCCAGCGGGTACATCCTCCAGCTGATGCCATAACCAGGTGATTCTGCAGAGACACCCTCCTTTGGTTCAGCTGACAGCTTGTACTGAAAGCTAAAAAAAATCCCAGGAGCTGTTAGTTGCTAAAAAAACTGGCTCTAGTCACTGCACATGACTGTGCATTTTGGGTTTGGTAATCCCTGGCCTGCAAGCCCAGGAGACAATTTACAACAGAGAGGTGAGAGACTGTGTGGGGAAACAGGCTTGGGAGAGCCTGCCCCTTTCTTCTGACTCTGTGGTTTTTAGGAAGCTGTTTAGGGTCAGCTCCACAAAGCTGTCTCTGACTGTTTTGTCTCCTCAGAGCAGCCTGCACTGCAGGTGTGTATCTGTTTGCAGCCAGAGCTCCTCCCTCCTGTTGACTTCTCTAACCTGCTTAGGTACTGGAGGAAATCCTGCTAAGCATCAGTGACCTTTAACAATCTGGCTTTCAGAGCTCAGTTTTCCCTTTGGTAGATTAGAGGCAGTGATGGATATCTGTGTAAAGCATTCTGAGACCTACATATGGGGAACACTTACATAAGAGCCAGCAAAAATAATTAGTAGTACTTACAAGGGGTTAACTGTTTTTTTTCCCTGCCAAGATTATCTGTGGGCTCAGCTGACAGTAGTGTTGTTGTACAGCAGCTGAGCTGTAGTGACTGTCCAGTGGCCACTCCAGCCTTGGATTTAAGGCATTTGAAATAGAAAATGTGAGGCTGTGTGAGGTGTAAGATCTCTGTGGAACGAGGCAGATCTCCCAGTCTGGGGTCTGTCAGCCAGGGCAATGTGCACACAGAGGGTCTGGCAGAGACCCAGAATTTAGTTAGAGCCTCGAGCACCTCCTGCAGTAAAACAAATGCTTGGTTTTATCAAGAAGGGCAGCAAAACTCTTGCCTCTGTTTCAGGTACCCTGCTTGAGATATCCCAGAACACAGCTGAGGGCAAGGCCGCTGCGGAGAAACCCAAACCCAAGAAGAATCGCTGCTTCACCTGCCGGAAGAAGATCGGGCTGACTGGTGAGTCCCTGGCCCCGGGCAAACCTGGCTGTGGCCTCAGCAGTGTGGTGTGAGAGCCCTGGGGGCAGCTCTGTTCGTGCTCTGGTGGTTCAGAGGGGCAGTGGCTGGAGGTTCCCCACAAACCCATCCCCGAGCCGAGGTGCTGCCGGGGGCTGGGAGGAGAGCTCTGACCCGCAGCAGCGCCGGCTGAGGGAGCAGCCTGGGGAACATCCCACTCCCTGCCGGGGTCCTGGCAGCCTTGGGATGCAGGATGGCAGAACTGGAGGCAGCAGCACCTCTCGGGTTGGTCCTGCTGCTTGGCAAAAGCTGCCGGAGAGCGAAGGCAGAGCGGGTCGGAGTGGGCTCCTGTTCAGGTCTGCGGTAAAGCTTTCGTAATAGGGACATGGAACGAGCTGGATCCAAATGGAAAATCCCTCTCCAAGACTCACCCCAGTTGTTAATGCTGCTTGATTTCCACTGTTGGCTTCCTGAGAGCAGGATGGCTCTGGGCATCCAGCCTGTAAAGCTGGAGAGGGCGGTGCGGGGATGGTGTCAGTGCTATCGATGGGAAAACTGCCCCTGGAAAGTGAAGCAATTAATTTGGCTGTGGTCTGTTCATAAAAACATCATTCCCCTAAATTATCTCTGGCATTTAGTGCTTCCCTGGAAAAAGTTAACTCGGGAGCTGTGCAGGTCACGCTGGCCCAGCAGAGCACTCACCTCTGGAGCTTCTGCAGTGCATCCAGCAGCCAGGGACTGGCTGTTTTCTTGGATGTAAGAGGCTTTGGCACAGTCTGGGCTGGGAAGTTTGAACCTGAGCTTGCCTGGAGATCCGAGGGTGCTGTCCTAGAATCAGTGTGGGTTTATAAACCTGGAACTGGGCAGGGTAGTCTGTGCCCAGCCTTTGGATCTGCAGGGAGGATGGTTTTCCTGGATGAGTGTTTCCTTAAGAACTTCAAACTGTGAGAACTTTCCTCCTTTAGGATTCAGCTTGCAGAGAAGTCTTGTGTATTCAGGGCATTATTTAGGATAAAATTAGTTTTCTCCAACAGGAGTAAACTGGCACCTCGGAGCAAGGTGTTTGTGGGCTGTGGTTGGAAAGATGAGAAGGGACAGAGCAGGATTCCCTGCCAGCACGATTCCCTGCTGTCCTGCAGCACATCCCTGCTCCCTGCCTGAGTTTCCCAGTGTGCTGTGTTGATGGAGGCAGCATTGTCCCCCAGTGAAGTGACTAAATTAGGAATTTTGAAGCCCAAATAGCTCAAAAGTGATCCCAGTGTGGTGACTGCCCTGCTGCTCACTGCTGGTCAGTGCAGATGCTGCTGTGTGACCCTGGGGAGCTGGGCTGGCTCCGAGGGCTCAGCTCCAGCTCGGGCTGCCTGGGGAGCCTGGCCTGGATTAGCAATCTGGCACTGCAGTGCCTGGCATGTCCCTTGTGGTCCCCCCGGGGAACACAGAGAGCAGCTGCTCTGGGAGCTGTGACAGCTGGGGCTGCCCAGAGCACGAGGAGCTGCTGAGCCAGGGGAAGGCAAAGAGCCACCCGTGTTCTTCCCCCACACCGAGTCCCTTTGGCCTGGGGGGGACAGTGACCCCCTCCCTCCCCTGTGTGCACTGCTGGCGTTTCCTGGCCTGGCAGGAAGGAGCTGGGGGGGCCCTGCCGCCTTCCTGCCCGGCTGGACGGGGCCTGATGTGGCTTTGTTTGTGCTCTTCCTGCCCTCAGGCTTCGACTGCCGCTGCGGGAACCTGTTCTGTGCCATCCACCGGTACTCCGACATGCACGCCTGCCCCTACGACTACAAGGCAGAGGCTGCCGAGAAGATCCGCAAGGAAAACCCCATCGTTATCGCCGAGAAGATCCAGAAGTTGTGAAGGGGGTCTGAGCAGCTCGAACTGCAGCCAGCAGGGCGGCCTGGTGCTCCTCCCCTTCCTCCCAGCCTCCCTCCTCCTCCTCTCCTCCTCCTCCCGGCCCCAGCGGTGGTGCGAGGGTGACCCCGGCAGCGCACACGGACCGGCACCGGGACATGGGGGCTCCTCGCACCTCCTGGGCAGTCAGTCGGTGTTCCTCCTCTCCCTTCCTGCCTGTCCGACAGCCACAGCTCAGCCGATGTGTTCTCAGCCAGCTTCCCAAAGGAAAAGGGGCCGTCCTGCCCCGCTACTCCAGCGCTGAAGACCTTGGGACTCGCCTCTCTCCGGGCGCTCTGCGTGGTGTGAGCATCTGGGCTTTCCCTTCCCGGCAGCTCCGAGTCCCGTGAGCCGCCCGGGACTGGTGCCAGAGTCCCTGAGCAGCCTCTGGACTTTGCTCCCTCTGCCCCACCTCCTGCAGTCCCGGGAGCTGGGGGATCCCGGCAGCCAGGCTGCCGTCTGCTCCCCGGGAGGTGCTTGGGCTCCGATGCAGCAAAGTTGATTCCGTGGTTCTGACGCCCCAAATCCCCCTCCCCACCCTGTGCTGGAGAAGCCCTGAGGGGACTGAGCAGCAGGGCTGGCACAGGGGAGTTATTTCGTGGCTTGGAGTGACGTGGGCAGGGCAGGACCTTTGGGAAGAGGCTCTGCTCACTGCCTCGTGCCTCTCTCCACAAGGAGGGAGCCAGGGACACCCCTGCTCACAGCCTTCCTGTGCTCGCAACATCCCCCGGAGAAGCCTCGGACCATTCCCCAGCGAGGTTTGTGTCCCCTCTCTTCTCCCCTCCCCTCTCTCTGCTCTCCCTGTCTTCTGCTTACACGAGTCGCTCTCATCAGGTTGTGCACAAGAGCTCAGTCCCCACACCCTCTGCTTCGTGGACGCTGCCCCTGCCCCCCAGGTGACAGCGGGGTTCCGCCTCCTCCCCCGGGGGCAAGCTCAGGAGCCCGAACCCACGCTGCCCTTCTCCTGCCTCCTCCTCCCTCCCTCATGATCCACAAGCTGCTACATAGGGCGAACTGCCCAGGAAAGGCACGTGGAGGGGCTGCAGGGCACGGGAACAGTCACGAGGAGGGTCCCAGGGAGGCACAGGCAGGGGCTCAGAAACGCCCATGGAGAGCCCCAGGGAGCAGGGAGAGGTGCTTGGAGAGCTCTGGGCCCACTGAGAGAGTTCCCTGGACTGGTGGAAGACTCAGGGAGGGCTCTGGGGTGCCAGGGAAGGCAGAGGGGGAGCTTTGGGGTGCAGTGAACATGCTCAGAGGACTCGAGCACCCCAAAAAGCACCTGAAGGGCTCTGGAGTGCCCACACTGGCACACGTGTAGGGAGGTTTAGGGAAAGCCAAATGCCAGCTTGGCCTCAGCCCACAAGGAGCCTCTGGAGGGCTCTGGGGCTGCTGGGAAGACACAGGGCTCAGGGATGCAGCATGAGGCGGGGCAGCAGCTCCTGGGGCACAGCAACAGCCACCTCCACACCCAGGGACTTCCTGGGAACACCGGGAGCAGGGAAGCAGCTGTGGGGCTCTGGTGTCACAAGCAGAGAACCCTGGATGTGTCCCAGGGGACAAGCAGCAACTCTGCCCCACTGCTGGCTGTGCCACCCTTGGGAAGTGTCTGCCTGGGTGTTGGAGAGCAGAGCCCCAGGGAGCAGCAGGGGGAGGATCATGGCCAATCCTTCCTTCCAAGTGCTGTTTTCCTGCCTTTCTCGTGGCAGTTGTGGCAGGGATCCTTCAGCAAGGGGATCCTTCAGCAAGGGGATCCTTCAGCAAGGTTGGATTCTCCTGGGTGTTGGGTTTCCCAGTGTGATCCAGCCAGAGCAGTGTGTGCTCTGTGGGCACTGCCATCCTGCAGTGTTACCAGGAGGGTCCCAACCTCCAAAGCTCATGCAAACCCCCCTCCAGCACAGAGAGGAGCGAGGCTGCCCCTTGCCAGCCTTTTCCTCAGGTTTTTGCTCCTGGATAACGTGGACATCACATCCAGAGCATGCCAGTGGCCGCAGGTGTTACCCCTGGACACCCCTGGGCTGGGTTTGCTGTTGAGCTTTTGGCTGAGGACGATCCATGGCCCTCAGGGGGAGCAGGAATTGCAGCCAGCCCTTGCCTTGTGTTCTCCTGAGGGCCACGAGCTCCAGGGAGGTGCAGCAGCTCCCATGGATCCGGCAGGAAAGCCCACAGCCACCTTCCAGCTTCACCACCGACCTTCTCCCTGTTCTTCCCTCCCTCTCCATGAGTGTAAATACAACACAGTCTAGTTTGCTTGGATGCTGTGGGTGCTTTGTTACAGGCAGGGATGTTCTGTGTGGGCCCCACTTGGCTCTGGGCTCTCCGGGGTGGCCCTGGGGGCTCCGTGCCTCAGTTTCCCTGTGGATAATCCCTAACTCCCAGCACCCAGACTCCTGGGATCTCAACCCCCAGGAGCTGGACTCCAGAGATCCCTTCCAACCCTGACTGTAAAGTCTGGGATTCTTCCCCCCTGGCCCTGAGTTCCCCCAGATCCCCCTGTGGTGCCCCTGTTGTGTTCATGGGGCTGGAGTGGGAACAGGGACGTGGGTTTGGGACAGGCCCCAAATGCCTTCCCCCCTCCCTATATCCATGCAGGGGCATCTGGGCAGCCTTTGGCACCAGGACTCAGCCAGACTTTGGCACTGTCTCCTGTGACATCCTAGTTGGAAAGCTCGAGAATTGTGGGCTGGGTGAGTGGACATTGAGGTGGGTGAAGGACTGGGGGAATGGCAGAGCTCACGGGGTCCTGATCCAGATGATCCAGAATCCAGCTGGGAGCCTGTGGTCAGTGGGGGTCCCCAGACATGAACTCTGGGCCCAGCCTGGTCCAACTTGTTTATCAGTGACCTGGAAGAAGGGGTGGAATGGACCCTCAGTGTTTGCTGAGACAGAACTGGGGCAGTGGCTGATCTACATGAGGGCTGAGCTGCCCTTCCGTGGGACATTAATAGTCTGGATAATTGGGCAGAGGGAAACCTAATGAGGGTCAACAGAGGCAAGTGTAGGGTCCTGCTCCTGGGGAGGAACAACCCCATGTGCCAGCACAGGTTTGGGGTGACCTGCTGGAGAGCAGCTCTGTGGGGAGGGACTGGGGGGTCCTGGTGGAGGATGAGTTGTCCACAGCCAGCTGTGTGTCCTGGGGCCAGGAGGCCAATGGGATTCCCAGAGTGCATCGGGAAGAGCGTGTCCAGGTCAGGGAGGGGATCCTGCCCCTCTGCTCGGCCCTGGGGAGGCACATCTGGACAGCTGTGTCTGGGCTCTACAGTTTAAGAAAGACAAGGAGCTGCTGGAGAGGGTCCAGCAGAGCCACTAAGATGGTGAAGGGTCTGGAGCAGCTCCCTTATGAGGAAAGACTGAGGGAGCTGGGCCTGGTCAGTCTGGAGAGGAGAAGACTGAGAGGGAATCTCATCAATCCATACAAATATCTACACAAATATCCCATCTGAGAGGGGATCTCATAAATCCACACAAATATATCCAAGGGGTCTCTGAGGACAGTGCCAGACCCTTTTTGGAGGTGCGACAGGACGAGCAGCAATGGCCATAAACTGAACCACAACAAGTCCCACCTCAACACGAGGCGGAACTTCTTCCCGTGGAGGGTGTTCAGAGCCCTGGAACAGCTGCCCAGGGAGGGCGTGGATTCCCCCTCTCTGGAGACATCCCAAGCCCCCCCGGCTTCCGTGTCACCCGCTCCGGCTGCCCCTGCCGCGGCAGAGGGCTGGCCCGGGCGATCCGCAGGGGGCTGTGTAAGTTAAACAAAACCA